GGGGGGTCAGGGGGTTATTTTTTCTATTAATGATTATGCAATGGCTACAGTTGACAATGTGCAACAGACATTTGGTGTGATTGAAAGTATTTTGGCAATTTTCCTTTCAGAACAAGACTCGTCAAACAGTATAAAAGCCTATAAAATGATGATGTGCCATTTAAGCATGGTAATTTACTGAGATAATAATATTATAGGCTGGTTAAATTGTCCTGGCTGATGGTCTTTGTATCGGAGGCTCCATACATGTCCCGGCTTGCCCAGATTTACTTGCTCTTCTCCGCATTTTCCCACAGTTATCTGTGAACAAGATGGAATCCTGTTCTTTTGAATATGAAACATATTTAGGCTGTATTCCAAGCAGAGCCTCACAAAGAAGGGCTTTCCTTCAAAGGCTGCAAGCTCGGTCAAGTTATTAAAGGTAGCTTTATGCTGACTTTTGAAGTTATCTTTGTACCTACACCTTCAAGGTGTTTACCTTGCTCCATAAATGCTATATATGCTTCTGGTTTGTCTTCTGTGTAATTATTGCATTCCATTTGTTTCCAACCACAGATGATACTGTAGATGAGCCAAGTTGTTTTAGCTGGCTTCTGCCTTGCATATCTGGGAATTGTCAGGATCTGACCCTTAGGATCTTTGGGTACACCCAAGGCTTGGTGTCCCATATTTCAGAATTGACACTCCAGCACTGCATTTTTCCTTTTTTTTTTTTTTCCTCTTAACAACTTCTCTTATTTCAATGTAAAGTTTGGCGTTACCTACCTCCCAACTGTTGAAGACTGGATGGACAGGGTGTCCTTACACTTTTCGCCACCTGAGGCCAGGAGGGTCACTGGTTGCCAGAAGCTGGGCAACCTGGCAACCAGTGACTTCAGTGAGCAGGGCAGGATGCCAGCCAGAACATCACAGCTTGCCAAGAGCTACCCAAGGGTGACTTGGGCTGCCTCATTATAGGGATGGCCCTGGAAATATAGATTTTTTTTTTTTAATTTTTTTTTTTATTCCATATATTTGTGGTTTCATCTGTCTAATAAAATTCTAATTTCGGATTACAAGCCCCATTTTAAACTTTTAACATTGGAATAAAGGGTCTATTTTACTGAATGTGGTTGTTTTTTTTGTTTTTTTTTGTACTAAACACACACACCGTTTTGGGTAAAAAGGCATCTCGGCGGTCATTACAACTTGCTTGGATAGCCTAGTACACAGGGGATCTATTGACGAGTACAGCAAATGCTTCACTGAACATCTGTATGAAGCAGTTCTGCAGAATCCAATATTGTACACTGATCACCAAGGAGCACTTCAGAAACCATTGATGCGTCTATCAGAAATGTGAATGTACAAGGTCTTGTACATACTCGAGCTTGCAAAGCATTTCTCCCAGAAGTCTCTGCGGGGAGCGTTGCTTCTAAAACCCCCTTTTAATTGTATAGCCGTTAAAGGTGACGTCATATTGCAAAGAATCTCAAGGTTGTATTTTGTGGAAGTTCTCAGCTATGCTGCCTTGCCAGGCTTTGTTTCTGACTGGCTTGTATGAGAGTACGACTGGAGATTTAGCCGCTTCTAGTCATCCTAAAGACATGCAGTAAAGTGGTCCTATTGTAGTTTGAGCCTCTGCCTCTCTGACTGCTTTTGGGAGTAGAGATAAAAGGTGGCTGAATACAATGGTTGGCAAGCTTCCAGAACCAAAGGACTACGTTTTTAAGCAGTAGATGCTTATGATTATTACTGGAATGTATAAGATCTCCTGGTCAGATTAGTGCGCCTATAAATGTGACACATAGCTGTGCCCTAAAGGTTTTGAATGCTTAGGTCCGAGGCTTTGTATTAAGGAGCCTCTCCTCCCTCCGACCTCGCTAAAATTCATCAGTTCTTTCCCTTGTTACCTGATACTTGTGGGAGCAGTGATGGTCTATTGCAGACAAAGCTTTCAAAGAGGTGCTGAAAAGCAAAATCTCCCAGGAGTCCTCACTTCAGATGCTCAGTGAATTACTGTTTGCAGTAGAACCATGCGTATATGTACATATTTTGCTTCCCCAGTATCCGGTCTGTGTGTTTGCTGTTTCTTTTTTTTTTTGCTTCTTTTTTCCCCTCGTTTGCTGTGTTTTTTTTAATCCGTTTCTATTTCCTATCTCGGAGTGAAATGGAAGTGTTTATTAGTTCTTCCTAGCTAAGTCCATGAGACTCATTAGTGTTGACAAAGATGAGTAATTAAGGGTGAAAGGTCTCTGCTGAATCACCATGGATAAGTTAGCTTAGGGGGTGAAAGAGGATCGCATTTGATTCACCTAATCTGTTGCTGTTTTAGGTCTAAATGGGAACAAACAAATATAGTCTTTTATTCAGACAAATTGTGTATCTGAGCGTGTGTGTGTGTGGGCATGCAAAAAAGATTGGCATGGGCAGAAATTTCAAAAGTTTAATTTTAATGTTAGCCTGATGTTTTGGTGGGACATGCGCTATCTTGCCATTCTTCTACAGTTTGTTTTTCCTTTTAAAGTACTAAACCCATTAAGATTTTATGAAAATAGAACATTTACAATTTAAGTATGTAACCCTTAAAAAATGTTTAAGATTTTCTACATATACACAATCAACTATAATGTTTACTGTGAATTTAACCTTTTTCAGAGATCTTACACCCTCGTCGTTGAGGCATGGGACTACAATAATGAAACCAATGGTAAGTCTATAATCTATGTACCTATACATGTTTTTTGGGGTTCATATGAAAGGGAATCTTGTTTTATACTAATACTGGGTGTCAGTGGCGTATGGCACAGGGAGATTTCACTGTTGTCTCCGGAACAGAAAGGCTAACTCTACCTATTGAGAAAACCTTTTTTTTTTTTTTTGCATGGACAGACTTCTTTAATACAATGTGTAACATGTCACCGCTGCGATCAGTCAGTAAAGTGAGAAGGCACTCGAGCATATTTATTTAATATTCCATCCCCACGGCACGTTTTTCAGAGCTCAAAAAAGTAAACAAAAGAGCAGCAACAGTCCGTTCCTGTCAAGAGACCACAGTGGGACTCCTTTTTGACCTTCAAGTCAAACTGCTGGATTCTGTAATAGAAGTTTGTTTTCATTTCTCCATTTTGCTGCAAGCTAATGGTATTCCCAGAGCTTGTCGTTCAAGTGCTGCTCTGCAGATTGAAAGCCCCTCTGTAAAACATTATTGGTTATGAAAATGTTATGAAATGTACAAAGATGACAGCAGGTGCAGACCAAGGTCTCTGTAAGCCCTACATAACGGTATTGCTGTTTCCACTAAGGATTGTGGAAAGTACTGTACTGGTTGTTGTTTATTTTTTTATTTTTTTTATTAGTGGTAGGTGTGAGCTGTGCTGGGAAAGTAATATATGTCCAGTGGGTGCAAAGTAACAAACATGCTCCAAACTTTGTTTGAAGAAATAGTATCCAAGGAAAGGATGCTGCACAACCAAATGTACATATGTGAGTAAGCTGAACAAATGTTTCAGGTGCCCTGAAATGGTTGTTCAGCATACTTGCCATTGTGCCTTTGTTTGAACTGCAGCAGAAAATAAATCCATGGTTGTCCAGCATCCTTTCCTTGGGAAATTCATCTAATGTTTCTTTTAAAATGTTATTGACCACTTCCAGAAATAACATTGTAATGTATAATGCTTGTGCACTCACGGCTTGCTGCATTGGTAAGCATTGTGGTACTTTTGCCCGTTCAATTCCCATGGGTACTCAATGAGCATCCACACACCAAAAATCGTACCGTAACTGGTTTTAACCACAACAATTTTTTTCTTTCTGATGTTGTGGTGCATTGAGGGTCAGCTGCCTTTGTTTGCTGTGTGAATGCACATTTGGGCACCATTAGAAATTCATGGGAGTACCTGCATTACACACAATGTATGCGTCTTAGGCACAACAGCACAGATTAGTGCATGCACATATGTTTAAATCCAGCCTAGTGAGAAAAAAAAAATTACCACCCACAACTTGTTTACAACTGGCATAAGGTGCAATTTTTCACCACCTATTTTATTGACAAGCCTTCAAGGGCACCCACGAGCTGCCTTCAGAAATATCCCCCTACTGATAGGCCTGCCTATGCAGATCAATCACCACTGCCACACCCACGTGGCTATGACGAGGCCTTTTGATTGCTGAGAGCTTAGTGATACATGACGTCCACCAAGTAAAATGGGAGGTATATATTGGATCATTAATGGTGCTCTGCATCCAAATTTGGGTTTCATACTATTTTCTTGAAGAGAAAATAGTTTGTGCCCAAACTGCACGACTGTAATGTTCTATTTGTAATCCCTCATGTACTTTCACTTAATCTGATCAAGATGAGCTTAATTTAAGAATTCTGTTGCAAGGAATGCCTTTGCATAGAAATCTGTTTTTTGTTGACTGTAGCGCTAAATATAGAACACTACACTTGTTGATGGTGCAGTATAGTTTCCAGCGATCCTCATGTAAAATATGCAAAGTTATTGTACTTTTGGGAATATGTATACATATCTCGGCAAAATCGTCCAGACATTATTGATTTTCCTGGAATGTGAAAAAGCATCAACTGAGAAATGACTCTCCAATGTACAGTAGAAGATTTTTAAAGGGTGCCTGACTAGCGCAAACCTATATTTTTTTTTTATTTTTTTTTCTGTCTTCAAAGAAAATACGCTAGAGGTAACTGTGCAAAAGGTTGGGAGTAATTACTGTGGCAATATCTGATTGTGATCCTTATGACAGCAGCCACATCTTATAGCATTCTATGAAAATTTGCCCTTCAGCCTTTGTGTGAAATGTTTATTGTGCTTTGGGTTGAATATCTTTTTATGCCTTAGACCTGTCTTTCTTCCTGGAGATGTGGAAATCTTTACATTGTGGAGTTATGAGGTGTTGTCTTGTAGCATAGTTAAGTGACATCATTGGTCCTAGAGATGGGGGAGGAGAAACTCTGTGGTGTAATATTGAGGGCCTCTGACAATAAGCTGGCCATACAGTAATATACTGAATATCTAATATATGATCCTAAATATAACCCCCCTTCCCAAGCTGGATTATTGTGTTCTGACAGTAGACAACTTTTGTCAAGCCAGCAAGGCCATCCACTGTTGGCGTCTGATTCCTGTGAATTGAACAAAACAGTGTACCGCCAATTTTAGGAGACATCTTGCCCAGTCCTTACTCATCATTGCATTGGGCTGTCCATTAATCTGGCAGCAGGACTGTGTTTGTAGCCATTCTAAGAATAGATGATCACAAGATTGGGTTTAAATGGGTGTATAATAAATATATATTATTATGAAAGCCTTGACTACCCCTTTTATTCAGGGTGGCTACGCTATACCTCTGCCAAGGCATGTGTAAGCTAGCCACCCCCTGACACATTCCCAATGTAAACTCCTAATGCACTTTTTCACTGGCCTTTGCTTTGTAGGAGGTGCCAGCATTGTAAATTGGTATTGGTTTACACACATTCCTGTAAGCTGGTAGAAGTTGTATTAGGAGTTGTAGCCCAATTATGTGACCATGATTATACAGGTGAAACTCGAATAATTAGAATATCGTGCAAAAGTAATTGCAGTAAGTGCTGCAAAAGGGGCCCAAACCAAGAACTGAGTACATATGCATGCTTGTACTTTTCAGAGGTCCGATATTGTTCTATGTACAATCCTTGTTTTATTGATTGCATGGAATAACCTACTTTTTTGAGGTTGTGGATTTGGGGTTCTTGGGGTTTTCATGAGCTGTAAGCCATAATCATCACAATTATGACAAATCACAGCTTGAACTATCTTGCTTTGCATGTAATGAGTCTTATCTCATATATTGGTTTCACCTTTTAAGTTGCATTAGTGAAATAAATGAACTTTGCACAATATTCTAATCGAGTTTCACCTGTACATGCACTGCTTACTACTAAACGAAGTTTGGGATTTGTGCAGAAAGCTGAAAATGCAGATAGTGTGAAATGAAGTATAGAATGCTCGCTAAATATAAAGAAATGGTAGGTGCTGAACTGGGTAGTATGTACAACTGGCACAATTATTGTTGGTGTGTTTGGTTTGTTGTTGTGTGGGGTTTTTTTTTGTATGAAGGCTTTGGGACTCTTTAAGCAGAAAATGCACAAAAAAGGTAATATAAAAGAAAAATTGTATACAACTATGTGCCCTAGAAAGAACATAATGGACCTTTTAGTGTTCCTTTAAATTGCTTTTGCGCATATGTCGTTGAGTGCATTTGTTATACGAGGCACGCATTTTCTTGTTTGCTATGCTGAATGCTGTTCCCGTGTGCTGATAATTCTTCACTTTGCAGACAAACCAGAGCTTGCTGCAGGTCATAAGGCAGTGTCAGATCGTTTAAGTCATAAGGCCCAAGGTACAGAGTGAAATACCACAGATATATACCATATTCCGGGCTGCTGTGAAATATTATTCCAGGTTACAGTGTTAAGCAGACGCGTGTTTTGAAAAGGACAGGTTGTGTGTCTTGGCACATTCATGCCAGTAGTTCAATTTAAGTTTTCTGTAAGTGTTTTTTGAGGGTTGGCTGCAGTTATCACTCTGTGCTGATTTTGTTTTATTTTTTTTCCTACTAGAACGTTTAGAATGTTTTCTATTTTAAAGGAGAACTATGGGGTTAAGGCTTTTCCCCATAGTTCTCCTTAGGGTAACGGGAGGACATAAACTAGCGTCCTCCCATCACCCTAGGCTCAGTACACCGCGAGCAGTATACTGAGACGCTGAAGCGGATCCCGACAATTATGTCTGGATCCGCCCAGCTGCGTGACTGACAGCTGGCTCTGCCTATCTAGAGGCAGAGCCAGCTGTACCCTCCCCTGTCCGTTCCGCCAGTCAGCGCTGGCGGATCGGAGGGGGGAATCCAGTCCCTGCCCTGTCAAGGCAGAGAGCCGTGACAGGATCGAGAGGTGAGCGAACGCCGGTATCTCTCGCCAAATGCATATATACAAGTAGGTAAATTGCAAAGTTTTTGGTGGAAGCTCTCGGATTATTTTGCTTCTGTAATTTTGGGATAAGGGGAGATCTCCATTCCGTAGTTTCAATTTCCAACCCTTGCTAAGGCCAGTACAGAATTGTCACAAACTGTACTCAACTGCTGTAGAATCCAGCATGTATGATTTTACTTGAATCCGTAATGGTCCCAACAGAACTGAGAGCTCTTGATGGCTTTGAATTATTTTGGGGAATCTCCTAAAGATTACACATTTAGCTGCATCAGCCTACTGGTTTCTACTCGTACCTTTTTTAACTATCCATTTGTGGGGGCCTGGTCTTCAGCTTTTGAAACTATTTGGAATAGTTGACGGATATTACTGGCAAACCTTTGGCATGAAATATTATTTCCACTTTTATTTAACTAGATCCTGATGACATCATAGACAAAGCCCTCCACTCTGGTATGATCAACCCAAGTCGTCAATGGCAAACGTTAAAGCAAAATGCTGGCATGTCCCATTTTGAGTACCAAATCCGAGTCATCTGTGATGAGCATTATTATGGTTTTGGCTGCAACAAATTTTGTCGACCAAGAGATGATTTCTTTGGACATTATGCCTGCGATCAGAACGGCAACAAAACCTGCATGGAAGGATGGATGGTAGTTCTCCTTAGGGTAACGGGAGGACATAAACTAGCGTCCTCCCATCACCCTAGGCTCAGTACACCGCGAGCAGTATACTGAGACGCTGAAGCGGATCCCGACAATTATGTCTGGATCCGCCCAGCTGCGTGACTGACAGCTGGCTCTGCCTATCTAGAGGCAGAGCCAGCTGTACCCTCCCCTGTCCGTTCCGCCAGTCAGCGCTGGCGGATCGGAGGGGGGAATCCAGTCCCTGCCCTGTCAAGGCAGAGAGCCGTGACAGGATCGAGAGGTGAGCGAACGCCGGTATCTCTCGCCAAATGCATATATACAAGTAGGTAAATTGCAAAGTTTTTGGTGGAAGCTCTCGGATTATTTTGCTTCTGTAATTTTGGGATAAGGGGAGATCTCCATTCCGTAGTTTCAATTTCCAACCCTTGCTAAGGCCAGTACAGAATTGTCACAAACTGTACTCAACTGCTGTAGAATCCAGCATGTATGATTTTACTTGAATCCGTAATGGTCCCAACAGAACTGAGAGCTCTTGATGGCTTTGAATTATTTTGGGGAATCTCCTAAAGATTACACATTTAGCTGCATCAGCCTACTGGTTTCTACTCGTACCTTTTTTAACTATCCATTTGTGGGGGCCTGGTCTTCAGCTTTTGAAACTATTTGGAATAGTTGACGGATATTACTGGCAAACCTTTGGCATGAAATATTATTTCCACTTTTATTTAACTAGATCCTGATGACATCATAGACAAAGCCCTCCACTCTGGTATGATCAACCCAAGTCGTCAATGGCAAACGTTAAAGCAAAATGCTGGCATGTCCCATTTTGAGTACCAAATCCGAGTCATCTGTGATGAGCATTATTATGGTTTTGGCTGCAACAAATTTTGTCGACCAAGAGATGATTTCTTTGGACATTATGCCTGCGATCAGAACGGCAACAAAACCTGCATGGAAGGATGGATGGGACCTGAATGTAACAAAGGTAATGGCTGCTTTATTACATTTGAACTAAAGTGGTTGTCACCATTTTCTCTTGTGTCAACCGAATGCAAATTTAATACAACACTGTGTGCTTTTTGTATGTTTATAAATCTGTATATATCTTCAAACTGAGTATTGTTTCGGGCCCTTAAAGGAATTCATTTTACACTGCACACACCCTTTCTAGAAAGGCTGCTTCTTGGAGCCGAAGACTAAATGATTTCCAACTGTGCTGAATCATGTAATACCATTTTATGATCTCTTGGGGTTCTCCAGGCAAGCTGCTTTTCTCTCGTTCTTTTACAATGACACGCTCCAGCGTGTCAGGAATGACTGTGCTGGGTCTTCTAGTTCCAGAATTGCAGGCATGCCATGAATTTTCTAAAGTGGATATATTTTTTCAGCTTTTTGATGAACAAGCAGAAAAGATGAGATTGATTGAAATAATATTGGCATTATGCATAGTGTTTTAAAAACTTCTTCTTTTTTTTTTTTTTTTT